TTTCGAGGGTGTATTTCGTGTATTTATATTAAGAGTAAGTGGTTCAACAGCTCAAAGCTGTTATGGGAAAAAAAAACCCATGCACATGTAACAACCATAAAACTATCGTTCCTAAGATGTACTCAAGTTGTAGAAAACAAAAATTTTCTACACAAAGTTCTCACCAGGAGTGGGGAAATGCCTAGGATGGAGCTTTGTTGTATTCCGTCTAAAGAACAATGTTCAGCTACACCTGAATCATTTCAGAGATTCAAATAATAACAGATGAACACAACGTATATATCATACGATTCGCAAGCGAAGCTATGAACAACTAATTCCCTCTTTCCCATATGCAAACCTAGTGTCCAACCATAGAAACCATCATCTTCTGTGCTATCATGTTGGATGATGAATCCTCTTTGGAGCTTTCCCGGAGTCTGTCTACAAATCAACAAGTATAATCTGGTAATGCAGGGGCCAAGCTCTTATTGCGTCAACTAATGCAATGAAGTCCAGCACAATCATCTTACCTGACAGCCTCCGGGGCAGAATTGCAGTAAGGTGTGTGCAAGCAAACTAACTTGGTGCATGTTAGGCATAATGTAGCAAGACCAACTCCTAATGCAAGCCCACAACTGCTTTTCCATGTATCTAACTTTAGGGCTCTGTTAACTATCCTGAAGAAGCATGGGAGTAATGCCCCACAAGCAAAAACCATAAGATGGACTAGACCACTGTAGTCAATACCAGCAAGTATAGCTCCGATTGCAGATATTGGGCCCACAAAGCCAATCAAAGCGGCTGCTGCAAAAGCCCCATGGCAATTTTCAGTGGCTCCAAATATACACCTAGCCACTGCTGTACCATGGGGGAGCCCGTGAAGTGAGACAGGAAGGACCATGTGTTGACCAAATCCATAAGCTTTTGGTGCAGCCACTCCCAGTGCAAGCCCTTCAGCCAGTGCATGAAGGGCCACATGCTAAAACTGACTGAAGTGTGATGGCACTCACTGCAACTGGAAAACCTGCTATTGCAGGTAGTCATTGACTGAAGATCTTTTCTGACCTACAAGTGCCAAAATATTGGCGATTGAAACCTGGGCAAATGCAACTCCCAGAGCAAGTAGTGACATAAGAGGGACGAAACCAATCTTGAAAGACAAATAGTTGTGATGGTCGCCAAGCACCAAGGACAAAGGCAATGCAGAGGCTGCACTCATAAGAAGGGCATGATGAAAACGGAAAGCAAGTGCAAATGAGACAAGAAAACGGCCACCAAGTAGTGGTCCAACACCAAAAAGCAATGAAACAAAGAAGCCAGATGCATCTTCAGGGCTGCAACTAAGAGAGAGGATAATTAGTTGGTCCGAGAGAAGAAAATGCAATATTGCATTGTCAATGAGCAGAGTCAACATAAAAATACTAAACAACAATGTTGTATTAGAAGCAAGAACACCAGAAATGGCAGAAAACATATGAGTAGCTTACAACAAATAACTAATATGGGCTAACTTAGATGGTTGTCTCATTATAGAGCTAACATGAAACCTCTACAAGAAGAAAAAAAGCACTGTGGGCCCAAGAAAATAAAAAGTTTGTAAAGATATACAACAGTAATACTCCTAATGAGAATAAAATAAAATATGAATTGAAGTAATCCCTAGTGGCTGCATCTATTAATGCAAATAATGTAAGATGAGGTTGTGAATGCTTCTGAACAGCATAAAAATCCAAAACAACTCACTTGTACTCATGACTGAAGTTCTGAAACAGAAAACCGAGTGCTTTCATAAATGCTACAGAAAGCATAGCTGCTGATGCAACTGGAGATGGTGATGCTTCCTACAAGAAGAAAACACAGAGAAACTAACATAGTGTATCCAGGAAAGAACAACAGAGTTGAGAAATAAAATGTAAAACATGGTCAAATCACATTGAGAGTCTTGCAGCTTTTATTTGATGTCTGAACATAGAACCAAATCCAGAATTTGCAACATAGAACGAAACAGGAAGGGATACAGAGAGATGCCATCCATTGGTGTGACTATAGAAGCGCCTTCATATTGTGTACTAATCTAAATATGAATTTTAAAATTAAAGCTTTTTAAATGGCTGGCATTAGATATATGGTTGATAAAAACTTTTGAAAATGTGAAGGCAGACAGATCTAAAAACATATTCATAGAGTCAATAAGTCAAGAAACCTTGAATGCATCTGGAAGAACCTCAGCAACAACCATCCAAATCATGCATCCAGCAGCAAAGCCTGTGCAGAAAGGCAGGAACTTGTTAAATGCATCAGCACATATAAAGCAAGGAACTGCAACAATGGGCTGCAATGATACTTCAAAACTAAAAAAGATTAAATGAGAATAATCAATGATTGAGGAATTTAAAATTACTTACGATTATAGCCAAACAAGAGAAAAAAGTCAATTATGTCTATTCATTCTCTTTTCAAGAAAATGAAATTAAGCAGCAACAAGCAATAATTTTGGTTTCTTATGAAAGAGTATATATTAGAGAACCACAAGCCTCCTTTGAACTGTTATCATACATTAATGCCGTAATTCAAAACATTCAACCTGATATTTATTTTTATATAGTTTCTATTATTCACTTTCATTTTTCTTTATAGGTCAGGGGACAGGAAGCTTCTAACATTTTCAGAATTATCTCAGATTAAGTGGAAAAAATATACTCCAAAAACCAAAATATTACATGACATAATGCATTACCTGGGGTAAGGATGTAATCACACTCCACAGCATTGCATTCTGTGGAGATACACCTCTTGAGGCAAGCACCATACTCACAGCTAATCCCTCTGGTATGTTGTGCACAGCTATTGCCAAAGTAACCAAAAGACCTTGAGTAAAACCTTTTGAACCAGCAAAGGAAACTCCAACACCAGAGCCCTCCCCAAATGAGTGAAGAGTCATAATTCCAACAACAAGAACAACTTTAGTTGTCTCAGCTCCTTTTATGTCCTGCATACTTACTTCCCCATACCATTCAAGAAACTGAAACCCATAAATGATGCAATAATTTAGGTGTCAACATCACCAAAAAATTCAATGACAGACCCCAAGTACACAGATTTCATCTGATGTAAGATAACACTAGAGTTAATGTTGTAGCATTAATGTCCTCTTTCCTATGAGCAAAGTACCCTTTCTTTGATTTGAAATGTTAGACATGGCAAAACAATATCAAAATGCATGAGTGGAATATTATGCCATACAAGCAATAATTCAGGTTCCTTGACAGACCAACGAATAAAAAGTCTGTGCAGATACATCAGAGCTGACAAACAGATGTTACACTTGAAGTGAAATAAACTTAGCAACAGGGTAGAAAAAAGAACATTCCGTACCTTCTTACAAAGCAAAATGAAAATGCCACCTGCTAAGATCCCAATCACAACCCAATTTCCAGCACCATGCTACTGCCCTTCCTGTATGAGGTCAAAACTTGCGGTCAACATGACACCAGCAGCCATTCCATTGCATATCCCAGCCCAATAAGGATCAAGTTCTACAAAGAAGAATGGTAATGCACCTAAACCAGTTGCAGACGCCATCGCCAATGTAAAAAGGGCAACAGTGGACACAGAAACACTGTTGTAACTCTCCTTCCTCTCCCCTACAGTGTTTGTGTCTTCAAAATTTATTTGCTTCTCTGTACCAGTACCATCTATAACACTATTTCCTACATTTTTGTGGGGAGCTCTTATCCTTTGTGTAAACTCATTTTCACCTTCGGCTAGAACACATTCAAAGATGAGGGTGGTGAAGAACAAAATGAAAAGCAGCAGCTTGAGTCTAAACTGCATTGCCATTCACAAAATAATCACTGATCCAGAGAGTTTTACTTCTTGAATTAGGATCTCTCATGCAAAACTTTACTACCCGTTTGAGAAAAAAAATATCATACATACAAGAATCCAGAGAAAGTCTGCATGAGGAAGCCAATTTTGCTAGCAGTTAGGAAAGCGTGAGCAGGGATATATCAACATGTTGTTTAAAGCAAAATCTGCAGTTTAAAGTAGAATTCTCATTAGAAATTATATTAAAAATGGGAATGAAACACCCAAAAAATTGTAACTTTCCAGTGTTAAGGTACAATACTTTCAACATAATAAATAATGAAAGTATATGATAATATAAAAAAATTAAAAAGACCATTTTCCTGAGGCAATACCTATTGCAAGAAATCCCAATAGATATCCTTAAAATGAAAGATGCTTGTTTTCCCAAGCACATGAGAGAACCTTCTGAATTCCTGAAAAAGTCATCATTACCATAAAAACCCAATTCGAAATTCAACTGAATTAGAAATTGCAATTGAGAATCCCTCGCAAAGGAAACGACTTTAAACCCTAAAATTGAAGACGAATCAACGAAGGAAGCAAGTCAAACGTTGGACCAGAAAAAAGGGAAAGTCCCAAATGCAATCAAGGAAAAAAGCACGAAACAAAATTGATTGATTTGCAGAAGAAAGCAGGACCCATTTCCCAATTTTGTAATCAGAATGAAACCCAGAACTCCCCTGAAGGAGAAAGGGTGCCTCCCACACAGAATGAGCGAGAAAACTGAAGCTTGACACAATCTGGAATGGTGTTACCATTTGTTTAAGAAAGGCCAATAGAAAAAGAAGATGCAGCAATAAACCCTTACTAATTACATTTTTTTGGATTTTCAAAAAATGTGCTGTCAGATGAAATTGTACAAGTTAGGCTCACCTTTACCTGTGAGAATGGTTTTTTAAGAAAAAAAATAATTCATTGGTAACTTTTTGTATTATGTTTTAATGTAAAATTTTTATATTATTTAAAAAATTAATTTTTTATTTATTTAAAATTTATAATATTTAATATATTTAATTATTTAATAATATATAAAAATTATATAAAAAATTACATAAAATAATTATTCTTATATCACTGTCTATTTTCTTAGTGTTTTAACTTTTGGTTCAGTTGTTTGTTTTTAATTTTTGGGCCTTCCGGTTGTTATCTTATTATCTTCAAAATATACTCTCTTTGTTATTGTAATTTTTAATAATTTTAGTTTAATTTTTTGATTTTTTAAATATGAATTTTAAATGATAATTAAAATTTTTATACTAAATAAGAATTATATTAGAAAAAAATTTTCAATTATTGTTTATGTATATTATTAAATTTCTATTTAAAATTCATATATTAAAAATCATAAAATCAAATTAAATTTAT